AAAAAAAAAAAAAAAAAAAAAAAAGGAAGTCTGGATCCTTGAGAGTCTTCTACCTTAGAGATAGGTGTGGAAGGAAGCCAGGCAATCAGTGCCATTTTGCTTTTCTTTTTTAGCCTCTTCCACAAAATAGGCTTTTCTTTATTTAAGCTTGTATTCAAGAGCACTTAATTTAGTTGGATCATTGGCAACCGTCTATAAACTGCCAAATTTGGTACAAAAAAAAAATCATTCCTTAAGAGTCCTGGGTGTTAATACTTACTGCATTGTTAGTTTGTTTTGAGTCTAGCTTGATCATGAATACTCATCTCTAGCATAAATTTGACGATGAAGGGAGAAAATCCGTCTGATCCTGCATCTAAAATGGTTACATATAAAACAAATTGGCTTGCTTGCATGTGCTTTTTTATCCTGTGCCTCCAAGTTATTCAGCCTCCAGTGTAGAACCTTAAACAAACACAAAATTTGTCACAATTTGATAGGCTTTGAGCCCATATGTGCCTACTTTCATCAAAAGTACAACAGACGTAAAATTTAATTCCTATGCCCGACAAAACAGTTTAGTTCTCTGTGTTTTATTTTCTTCATTTGACAGTTGTTTTTATTTTCACAGTAAATTTTTCAAAGATGAATTCTGGCTATTCAACAGCAAAGAAGAGTAAATCTGAACAATACCAAGAGATAAGTTTGAGAAAGATGCAATCTCAAAAGTGGAAGTGACACAAAGACACATTCTGGGAGACATGAGAGGCCAAATTACACATCAAACTGTAAAAGCTGCAGATGGAAATTGCCAGCCACCAGCAGGGAGGGGGAGACAGGAAGGGAGACTGCCAAACAGCAGCTTTGACAAGCATAGACTATCAATTTCACTAGACAATTATAGGATCTGTAGGCATCTTGTTGGTTTGCTAATTTTCCTGTACAGCCTCTTTATCTCTCAGGAAGTGCTGACCTGGGGTAATGACTGCTTATGGTGTAGACAGCCCATCAAGGAGTCCTGTTCCTATTTTAGTTGCCCATGATATCTGTGATTCCACAATTAACCACAAAGACAAGATTGGAGACACCCAAAAAGAGCACAAGCTGCTGGCATCCTCCTGGAAAATAAACTTGATCCTCTCTAGCCAAAATGGATCATTAAAGGAGTTTTCTTTTAAAACGTGGTATTTTCCCAGTGTAGGCAGTCGTGATTTTCAGCAGGCAAGTCAACATTAAATCTCAGGTTGAATGAGAGTGATCACATTTGACACCAGCAGAAGAGCTAAGCTCTAGCCTGGCTGTTCTGATACAAATTTAAAAATATTAATTGGCTCTCTTGGGAGAGGAGATGTGGGAATTGATACAGCTGAGCTGCCAGTGAAGAGATGCTATTAATCCACTGTCCGTCGTAAACTTCACCTATCTGAAACTTCAACAACCAAGTTCTTGAAAATGTAGTTAGTAGAAATGATTTATTTGAGAAGGGTCCACCAACCAGATGTGCTTAATTGTTTTGATTTTCTGTAATTCTATATGTTTGATCAGAAGTATAACCCCCCAAATTGATTGCAATTCTAAGGATTCAAACCATTTAGTTAACCTGATATTTTAATAGTCGTTTGAAATTTTGACTTGATGGGATTAAAACCAAAGTGCAAAAACATGAACTTAAAAATCTACCGTAAAATAAATTAATGCTTTCAAAAGAATGAAAGCAGGGAGTTTTAATTCCAATTCGGTTTTTTAAAATTATTTTAACATTTTATTTTGTGCCTCTTATTCTCTTGCCACAAATTAAAAGATTAATTATGTTTCCAGCCCTTTTTTAATTAAAAAGAAATGTGTTTATGATATCTCTTTGCCACTCTTAATCCCACACATCACTCACCTATTTTGTTCATTGCTTTCTAATTCTTAAAAATGAAAAGGAAAAATGATTTATAATGTGTAGTTCTGATGTAAGTAGATGAGAATAGCTGAATGACAACTCACCACGATCTCATCAAATGTCAGATGTCTGATAATATTAATGGTGAAAATGTATGGAAGTTTACAGTGTGTCAATTACTTTTGTATGTGTTTACATGAACAGTAGTACTTGATTAGATACATCCAAACAGCTACTCTATGAGGCAGAAATTAAAAGCTGAGCAGAGAGACACTGAGTAACGTGTCCAAAGTCACACAGTTGGTAAGTGATAAGAGCTGGTCTTTAAGCCTGGGGTCTGACTCCAGGATTCTTGTCCTTAAGCCTAGAGCGGCTTCATTCTTCCAGTAATTTTTATGATATGTGTATACATTATATTTATAAACAGCTAACTCTAAAGATAGGAAAAATGTATAATTTTACTGTTTCCATCAAATAAAAATTGCTTATAATTTTAGATGGTATACAAAATTGATGGCACAGGTAATAATGATTGTGCTGTTTAATAAGATATAAGATAAAGGGCATTCATTTTCTCTAAGAGAAATGATTTGTTTTCATTTGTCACAGTTTTACAGTAATTATCATCAGTGTTAGTGTTGACAGTTTTTCCTGATATTATGAACTGTTTTGTCAATCTTATCATTACCCATAGACTTTTTGAAAGACCATTGTTCAAATCTAAACGGAGAAAGAGAGAGTGAGCTTTATTATGCTTTCAAACTGACAGGTTCCCCATGTCCCCAGGCCAAAATTACAAATGCTGTACTCTCTTCTTGTCATTCATCAATCCATTCATTCATTTACTCTTTCTTTCATTTAAAAAATGTTTATCATACTGTTTTTATATTAGTTGGTAGTATGAGCAGACACTCTCCCTGCTTTCACAAGTCTTTTCATTTTAGTGGAGGAGATAAATATTGATTTAAAAAATCAAATATATAACCACAAGCTGTGATACATGCTATTTAGAAAAACAGCTGATGTTGTGAAAACATGCACTAGAAGAACCTGGCCTGATCTGAAAATCTCAGAAGATCTGTATTCGTTTTCTAGAGCTGCCGTGACAAATTACCACAAACTGGTGGCTTAAAACTACAGAAATGTATCCTCTCACAGTTTGGGAGGCCAGAAGTCCAAAACTGGGTGCCAGCAAGCTTGGTTCTTTCTGGAGCTCTGAGAAGACTATTCTGTCCTTCTCTCCTAGCTTCTGATGGTTACTGGCATTCCTTGATGTATTTGATTTGTAGACACAATACCCCAATCTCTGCCTTCATTTGTACATGACATTCTCCCCTGGATGTATCTGTATGTTTGTGTCTAAATTTTCCTTTTCAGAAGGACACCAGTTATCTTGATTACATTTGCAGAGACTCTATTTCCAAGTAGGATGACATTCCGTAGTACTGGGAGTTAGGACTTAAGCATATTTTTGAGGGACACAACTCAACCAACAATTGCATTGAGTCAATTACACTGGAGCTGAGATGATTAGAATTTAAGGAAGACAGGACTTTGCAAAGGGAAGAGGACATGTAAAGCCCTGGAAATGAGGGAGCATCCTGTTTAAAGACTTGAGAGAATGGCACAGAGACAAACACATGCACAGAGAAACACAGGAGCAAAGAGCCTCAAGGAGTGCACCCACGGTGCTGCTTGTCTGTTCCCATGCACAGACTCCCCTCCCATGAGGCATGGACATCACAAACCTAATCTTTGCTGCTGGTCTACCTCCGTTGACCAGCCAGCACCCTCATGTGCCCTTGAGTCAAAAGAGAAGCAAACACTCTTCTGTTCTGGGCTAGACTTTAGGAGAGAAAGTCTATGTGGGAAAGAATCCTTCAGAGCCAAAGCGTGGGTTGTGCTACATGAACACAATGTCTGGGAGAAGATTTGGGTTAAATTCCAGATTTGTACCAACTTGGATAAGTGCACAATTTTGAGCCCCAGTTTTTTCATATAAAAGGTGAGATGTGTATAGTATGTGCATTGTATTCAAGTACTTTGTAAATTTCAACAATAAGGAGAAAGAATGCTACTTGGAATAAGGAAGATGAAAAATCCTTGGCCTTTTAAACCCAGCACAGTCCATCCAAATTACTTCATGGTAACAGAAAGAACTGGGTCGGGGAGGGGGAGACTATTAATAGCATTCCCAGTCTGTACCATAGAGGAGGTGAGAAGGTTAATAATAACAATAACATTTCATCTCTGCACAGTGGAGAGGGTGGGGGAGCAAATATTAATCATTTTAATAATGGAATATGTTTACAGTGGTTTATGGGTAACAGTGTTTTCTCATATACAATCTTAATGCAATGCTTCTGTCTTCTATCCCACTTTTAAAATAAAACTCATGCATTTGGGGGATGAGAAAGCTTTAAAATGCCAACCTCTCTATCTGCTAGCACTTGACTGGAGTGGTTCATCTCATTAACCAATCTTGAGAAGGCTGAATGAGTGGGCGAGATGATAATCCATGAGGAAAAGGAGACCAGAATAGGGCTTCAGTCACCCACCCACAGGAAAGTCTTGGAAACAGGGGAGAGAGGAGAAATCCCATTTTCACCCAGCACCTATCCTGTGTACCCAAAGGGTCTCAGCATTTCCAGAAATTGATCCAGGTATATTATTTGTCAGAGTTGTGATCAAGGTTAGATTTATCCCGCAGAGGGCCACACAGTGTGCATCATGCAATGGCCACCAAGTGCTGGAGAATGAACTGCTCGCCTACCCAAGACACATTCCCCACAGGGCTTGCAATGAACCCTGTAAGGCATCCAGGAAGACTTTTGATTCCTCAGTGAGATGGACCCCATTACCTCATATACTTTTCCAAAATGTTTTTATACATGTATGTACATAAACATCCACATAGATGTGTATGTATATGTGTATATATCTATATATATATATGTATAATCTATTTAGTTTTTTACATGAATGATATACTTTCTACTTCATCATCTTGCTCTTTAAAAGTTTTGAGGTGCAGCTAGCCTCATTGGTTCAGGTAGATCTTCTATGTGTTTTTACACTATTGCATAGTAATTTGTAAACTGGACATACCACTTTATTAAGTTAGTCCCTTTTTTATTTTTATTTTATTTTGTTTTATTTTATTTTGAGACAGAGTTTCACTGTTGTTACCCAGACTGGAGTGCAATGGCACGATCTCAGCTCACTGCAACCTCCGCCTCCCAAGTAGCTGGGACCACTGGCATGCACCACCATGCCCACCTGCTAACTTTTTGTATTTTTAGTAGAGTCGGGGTTTCACCCTGTTGGCCAGGATGGTCTCAATCTCTTGACCTTGTGATCCACCCGCTCCTCGTGATCCACTCCCAAAGTGCTGGGATTACAGGCATGAGCAACCGCACCTGGCACTTATTTTTATTTTTAAAGTTTTGTTTAGGGATAGGGTCTCACTTGTCACCCACGCTGGAGTGCAGTGGTACCATAATAGCTCACTGAAGCCTCAACCTTCTGGGCTCAAGTGATCCTCCTACTTCAGCGTCCCAAATACCATGCCTAGCAATTTTTGTTTGTTTCTGTTCATTTGTGGAAACAGGCTTTCATTATTTTGCCTAGGCTGATCTCAAACTCCTGGCCTCAAGCGATCCCCTCGCTTTAGCCTCCTAAAGTGCTGGGATTACAGTTGCGGATCACTGCATGCAGCCCAAGCTGTTCCCCTTTACATGGACAGTGCATTGTTTCTAAGTTTTCACCATGACAGTGTTGCACAGGTGTGGGCTAGATCGTCATGAAGTCTCTCATTATTACCTTTTAACATGCGATATAATGTACATGGTTATCATGCTGATTTTGGTTCCTCTCTGCTAGAATATAAACTCTGGGAAGGCAGAATGTTTGTTTATTCTATCCTCAGGTCTATCTGCAGCCCCTAAAACTGTACAGGCCGTGCATATTTGTTGAACAAATGTGCTATTAGCCATATTCTGCAGCACATATGGTTATGGTGTAACTAGTAACCTCTTAATAGAAGGACAGCTCTCTGAGGGCATGGACACCCTCAGAGTGTTGCAGCTGCAGTGTCTGGCCCAATGCCCTGCTTAGAGTGGGAGCTTTGTACATTTTAGGGTCAAACAGTGAAGTTTAACACGTCATCAGATCAATGTGGCTCTGCATCTCACCTCAACTTACGTAGATCCTGTGATTCTGATGAAACATCAACCCAAAAAAGTTTACCATCACCTTGCATTTAGTCCTGTCGCCACCTCCCTTGCTCCCACTCTGGTCTGAACCACTACCATCTCCAAGCTGGGCTTTTGCAGTGACCTCCAAACCAGTCCGCTTAATTTCTCCCTTATGCTCAGCCTTCTCCTTTGACTAGAGCAGTCAGTGTGTAATGTTAAAACCTAAGTCAGATCCGGGCACTGCCCCTCTCAGCTCCCTCAGTGGCTTTCTACCCACCCTGAGTAAAAGCTTAAATCAATGCAAAATGGCCTAAAAAGCACAGCATGGTCTGCACACACCGTTTTCCCATTAATGTCTGCCCTCTACTTGGCTGCTGTCCTAGCTCACTCATTCCTCCAGCCTCCCTGGCTTCCTGAAGTTCCTGGAACTTGGACGTCTCTGCCCACTGTGGAGCTCTTGTCCTAGTTCCTTACCACTCTGGCATGCTTTCCTCCAGGCATTAGGCTTTAATCAAATAGCAACTACTGAGGCTTTCCAGGATCTAAAATCACAACCTCACCTAGACCCTTCCTGTTGACCTCTGTCTTGGATTATTTTTTTCCCATAGCACATTATCATAATCTAGCATAGTATATTTACTTAGCATGCTTATTGTGTGGTTCTCCAACTAATATAGTAGCTCCATGAGCCAACAATGTATGTCTGTTTTATTTACTCACTGCTGTATCTTCCATGCCAAGAACAGTGCTTGGTAGCTATGCAGCATTCAATACATATTTGTTGAAGAAGCTGATTTTAGAACTGAGCACTTTTTGACACATACCATGCTAAACCCTTTACCGGCCTTATTTCATGTATCTTTCACCACCATCCTATAAAGGTGGGACTATAATGATACAGTTAAGAGAATGGGCCCTAGAGTCAAACAGCTAAGATTAAATCCTGTCTCCATTGCTTACCGGCAGTGGCAAAAGGTCAATCATTTATCTTCACTAAGTCTTTGCTATGTGAATGATTAAAAGGGAAATATTAATGATTATTATTTATTATTTGTTGCATTTAATCAGACTCTATGAAGCAACCAATTAAACACCATAAGAAATTTTTCAACCACAACCCTAGGTTTAAGCACCAAATCCCCTCTTATTTAATTATCTATCTCATGTGATCATTTTAGGATGTAATAGCTATTTTGTGCATACTGCTTTGCAGGAGTAAAGCACTCCCTTGTCTGAACTCTACTTCACATAGGAAAAATATTAACTGCTAGGTTATAACCACCCTGAGAAGTGGGCTTTCTAAGTAAAAAGCCCTACACGATTATTTCAATCAGAGCTCAGAACATTATGACAATGAATGATTCATAGCCTGTGTTAAATCTTCATAATGATCTGGACAGTAAATGTGTTTAGTGGCCTTACACTTTGACTTCTATAGAACAGGACTTGGTTGTAAGTCATCTGAGAGTTCTAAAGGTAATTATAGATATGAAGAAGAGTATTGTCTTTCTGGTCCTAAAGGAAAGGCCATGCAGTGGTTAAAACAAATGTTTTTGAAGCCAACTGAACTAATTTTGTCGGATACATCACAGGCTCTCAAGAAACATTAATTAATTGAGTCAATGAATGGCTCATAGGCATACAAGTTGCATGACATTGGGCAAATTTAAGTTTCCATATTCTCTTTTGTATAACTGAAAAATATTATCTACCTCATGAATTTGTTTTAATACATGTACAATGGTACATACTGTGCTTAACATGTGGAAAGATTGCAATAGTTATTATTTAATAACTTCTTTCCATTCTACAGTTCAGAAAATAGAACCATCTTCTCCCAAATTAAATGTTTTACCTGTAGTATGAAGTGTAAGAACAGACCAGTTTAATATCAGATGTAAAAATGAGCCCTTTGCAAATGCTCTCCTCCTTCTGCATCCTACCTCCAATTCCAAGCTAATCGAGAGTCTTGATACAGCCACAATTCTTACCAAACTTTCTTACCTAATATTTACCCAATTCTTCTTTATTGTGAGGACCACATGGCAAATCCTCTCTCATCTTTCAAGACTCAGCTTAGCCATCCCTTCTGTTAGACATACTCTCTGTCGTTCCCAGAGAGATGGCTCTCCTCCTCTGAGCAGCAGCAGTGCCTGGTTTTCTTCTCTGTTGCAGTAACTTCAGGCCTGCAGTACCCTATTTACTAGTTGGTCCCTCCCAGTGGGGAAGAGTTGTAGAGAGCATTCATAAATCATACTTTCAGGGCTGAACTAGATGACTTTTAACACTCACCTCAGAGCATTAAAAAGATACGGCATGTAGATAGATTTGCACAGTGGCCAGCAGTAGTAAATTGTCAATAATGATAATTATGGTGATGATTAGCAGTAGTAGTAGTATTCTTCCGTCACAGGAGGAGGTGAGTAAGTGGATGAAGAAGAGTAATTATCTTTACAAGTGCTATGATGATCTAGAATATTATAGGTCAGGACTCCAGGGCTTTGGAATATCAGAGATTGCTTACTGTACAAAAAGAAAACAATGGCTCCCAGAATCTTCTGAGATTTGAAGATATGAAAGAAAAAATTATGAGCCCTTGAGATTTGTTTTTCCTAACGAGGTGTCTATAGAAATAGCTTAAAACTTAAAATGAGAAATTGTAATTCCTAGTTTCATGTGCCAGGTTATAAAGAAAACGCTGGGAGGAAAATGTGTTTCTCAAATATAAATTTCTTACATTTGGAAATGTATTGCTTAATTTTTAAGCATATAGATACAATTAATAAACCATAGAGTTTGATGTGGGCAAAACAACATTTGGTTACCTGAATGGTGATACATTATGCTGTAGTCATCTATTGTTTGGAAGAACAACATTAAAATTTTGTGGGTTTAAGGAGTTCTTTACTTTTGCCAATGATAATTTCATTTTGGCTCCATTCGAGTGCTCCTTCAGCAAACATTTTAGAGTTCCTACTGTAAGGCACTGTGCTAAGCACTGCAGATACAGTGGTGAACAGGCCCAGGGAAATTCCTGCTTCTACAGAGCAAATATGGGATAGAGACATTGAAGAGAAAAAAGTGAATATTATAGGGAACCCAATTCATTTCCGTGAGTAATTTGTACCCTTGAGTTCAGTAAGATATGCATGGGAGAGGCTGGCTTTCCTGAGAAAGGAAGATTTGATGGAAAACAGCGCCCCCCAGTGATTTCCAAAACATGGTTTATTCAAGCTCCAATCCAATTGACTGCCCAGTCCCTTCATGAAAAGGGACTGGCATACATTCAGAAGTTTGTTCTGGCCTTGTTGATTCCAATTAAGTCAGGTTTTGCACAGTGGAAAATGATGCTGTGACTCGCTATGGCTAATGGCTGGTTCTCTGTTCAGTGGAGAGGAGAGGCGCTTCAGAGTCCAAAGAATTTCAGATTAGGAACAAGGTCCCGATGTTTGCATTAATTCCAGTTT